ATTTATAAAATAATGACCAGACAGCACAGGGGTGCCCCTGGTAGGACAGGCAGCACAGAAAGAGTTCAAGTTCACACAGAGCACGGGCCAATGCAATGTGCCGACACGTCAATGGAACGCGTGCTTCCGCTAGACCCGGGGTGAGCCCCTTCTCTGCTGTCTGGTTCGGTGCTGCTTCCGTCTACAGGCCATTCTTTTGTTTCGTGCCTGCACACGCCTGGGACACAAGTAGGAAGTAGGCCTTGTGAACAAAAGACACACTGTTTCTTGGGATCAAACAACGAGAGGGTTTTCACCCACCTCTCGCCCATCCGGAGTCTGCCACAGCTTGGTGTGCTGCTGTGCCCCAGCCCCCACCGCCACTGCTGACCACCAGGAGACCCGCGCAGAGCTGGGGGCTGGGGCATGCTGGTGAGAGGACCGGCCTGATGACCCCCGAGCATGTGCTGTTACCTCCAAAGTGTCCAGCGCATGCTCAACAGCCTCAGACGCAAACCTGGGCCAAGAACCCCACCCAGGAGACGGCATCCTGAGACCCGGTGGTGAGCACACGGAGCCCCGCACCCTCGGACCACCACGGCCCACATTTGCTGACACTCCCTCCAGCGGGTAAGGCCGGGACCTGGACTTGCCCTCACGCAATTTCTTAGTGGTAAAGACACTAGCAGAGGCTATTCCGGAACAAAGGGACACCGGGGCCACGCGTGCGGAGGAGGCGGAGTCAAGGAGCAAGCTGCGGAAGCACAGGCAACAACACTGTACCACCCGTCTCCCTGGAGCGCCCCCTCTTCATAGAGCCCCAAACACAGCCCTGGCCTCTCAGAAGTCCTGGCCCTGGACGATGACTGTCAGCCTCTGCTGACCTGTGGCCCTCACCTCCAGCCCAGCAGGGTCCTGGAGCTGTACCCGTCAGGACACCGTGCGGGTGCAGGCTGTTTGGCCACAAATCCATCTACAGCCCCACAACATGCTGTCCACGGGCCTCTGCTACTAAGGCACTGGACAGCTCAATGACATGGTGAACACACACCAGACAGTGGCCACTGGCCAAATCCGTGACAATTTGGGCATCAAAATAAGTATCGAGTGTACACACAATAATCCACTGAATTAAATAGGGACCCATGGCTCTGGCCGGGTAGTTCACTTGGTTAGAGCGTTGTTCCGATACACCAACGTTGCGGGTTCGATCCCCAGTCAGGGCACAGAGAAGAATCAAGAAATGAATGAATGTGTAAGTGGAACAAATGGATAGTTCCCCCCCCAAATCAATAAATATGTAAATGAATAAAGAGAAATGAGCAGGGACCCATGAACATAAGCTGATAAATGAAACACCGAGGGCAAGAGGGGAGCTCTTCCTCCTTCCCATGTCCTTAAACACCACCTCCAACAAGAGTCCCAGGCGAGGGACACAGGCCCCTGTGCCTCCTGGCTGATGCACCGAGGACACGTCACACCACTGGGGCAGATGGTGACATGTGAACAAGGCCCACTGTCTATACGACAGTCCTGTGACACTGCTCAGGTCTGACTTTGATTGCTACACTGAGGTTCCGCAGGAGAATGCGCTTAGCTTTAGGAAACACACCCCAAAGGGTTTAAGAATAAAAGTGGCTCATGTCTGCAACTTATTCCCAAACACTTCAGAAAACAACGTGTGCACAGGTTCGAGGACGGGAAGCGTTGGGCAAACGTGGCCAAATGTTAACAGTGGGGAGCAGAGGTGGCAGACAAAAGAGGGTTCTCTGTACCGTCTTGCAACTTTTGTGTCAGTCTGAAATCATTTCAGGACAAAAAGTACACATTAGCCGATGTGGAGCGGTGCCGCTCCTACCGATGGGGAAGGAGAGTCCTGCCTGGAGGTCACCGGGCGCCACGCTGGGTCACGGGGAAGGGAACATGCAGTGGACTTGAGCTCACCTGTGCCTCTCTCACGCCTGCTTCCAGGGTGCGGACGCCACAGCTCCGTGTCAACGCTGCCCCACTGCCCTGCCGGGGCCTGAACACATGACAACTACACGACAACTTCCTCTATTGCTCTAACTGGAAAAACGGGAGAATATCCTGTCAGGCTTTGCACGGCTCGTGGCAGTCAAAGACCAACACTTCAGAAAAGGCACTGTCATGGCATTAAAGCAGATAAGGACGCGACGCGCTCGAACGCAGACTTCTGCCCCCAAGCAGCAAGGCGGCGAGCCACCCTCTCGCCGAGGGTGCCGGCTTCCCCTGGAGCCAGCCCATAAAGTCAAGGCGGCGCTCTCCCAAATGGCCCCCCACTTCCTCCCACATTATCCCCCACATCCAACCATCAGTGTTACAATGGGTTTAAAATCTATCAGCTTCAAGGCAGGCCTCTGGGGGTCTGGGGGTCACTGTGTTGCTATCCCGAGTTTCCGAGTCTGGTGGTTTGAACTGGCTACTTATAAAACCTGGAGAATGTATCTCCCTTCATTTTAGAAACACTAGGTTACAAGTTCCAGTCTGTCTGTCCCTTCTCCTTCCTCCAGTATCCCAGCCAACAGAATGAGTCCTTTGTATTAGCAACTGCACCTTGGCACCGATTCACAACTACAGAATATAGCAAAAGAGTGCAATGAGGTTTATATTATCTTACCAAACATATCGAGCACAAACAGGTCCATGTTGAAATAACAGACGTGGATCATCTTCAACATCACACTGAATTAACTCTGGGAGGGGAGGAGGGACATGACTGGGGAGATGCTATCATCTCACAAATGAGGTGATGAAGACGACCTCATGGACTGTGTCTCATCTGCCCGGGACTAGATGTGCTCACCCCTTCGACAGCCTAATGAGGGGATGGCTGTGCCCATTCTCATCACGGACCACATAAGGCCACCAGAGAGGGGCATCAACCAGATCCGTCTGAACAGGCTCTGGGGACAGCTTGGTAGAGTCACTGGTACTCCATGGAAGCTTAACAAGAAACTGTCACAAAATATCCTCACACACACCCAGCTCTGTGGCCACAGGCTCTGGCCTGTTCCCGCTGTGCTGATGCGTCTTGCTGTTCAAAGCTTCTGAACAACTGAAGGCCAGGGCCCAAAGGCCTCATCTCCCGAGCAGCCCCACCCAGGTCAGATCTGGTCCCAAGGACATCTACACACCTGCCTGGAGCTGGGAGGCAGGCAGGCCAGCCGGCTGAGTTCACGGCCAGACTTACCCGTGAGGCTGCCATGCTCCCCAGTGACCTTTGCCTGCTGGACTATGGGCACAGTCCCAGACCAGGATTCAGATCTAGCCGGCCCACCCTCCTGAGGGGGTCCCCACCTCAGCACGGGAACACCACCCTGCACATACCGGGGCGCTGCCCGAGGAGTCCCCCTAGTCCAGCAGGAGAGCCACGCCCTGCCACACTGACACCGAAGCCCTTCAGAGGAAATGGGGCGAACAGTAACTTTACTGACACAGTATAAAACAATCAACCTGCACAAAGCAATGACCGTTTCAGATCTAGGCTGAGAAGGAACTCGTGTTCTGTGAACTGGCCCGTGCCAGGTGTAACATTACGGCTGACGACAGCATCGTTAAGAAATTCCTCGGTGACATTTCCCACCAAACACCACACACATCCTTTTCTCCCACAGGAAGGTATGAAGAGGAGCCAGTGTGACTTTTCTGAAAGTCCCTAACCCCCTTATGGAGATTCTACACTGAAGAAATGAAAGACCCCCCCCACCCCATCCAACGGGAAACTGTCAACAGGAATAGTCGAAAGCTATTAATAGGTAACATCCACTTACTTAGTAATAGCACTAACATTCAGTGCAGGACAGAAAGACTGGGGTATCCTAAGCATGACCTCCATCCACAGGAAAAAAGAGATTTAAAAATATCTTTAAAGAGGTACTTACATGAAGTGATAATGTTCAGAAAAAAAGGAGCCAGAAGGGAAGGCAGAGGAAGAATGGTATGAGCAACTCCTTCCTACAGAATTGAGAGGTAAGCGTCTTCCTTTGAGATAAATCACCAGAAATACCTTCACACATGGCTATTTAAAAAGAAGTAAACTAGCTGGGTCCAGCTGGTGTGGCTCAGTGGTTGAGCGTCGACCCAGGCACCAAGAGGTCACCAGTTCTATTCCTGGTCAGGACACATGCCCAGGTTGTGGGCCTGATCCCCAGTGGGGGGCATGCAGGAAGCGGCCAATCAGTGTTCTCTCTCATTGATGTTTTCATCTCTCTCCCCTCTCCCTTCCTCTTTAAAATCAATAAAGGAAAAAAAGAAAAGTAAACCAGCCAGAATCACATGAGATCACACAATGGTTAGTGAGGCCCTAACAGGAAATAGTCAGACATGCTTGTAAGAGCCCCACTTGACTCTCAGAGTTAAAGCCTGCACACTTTTAAATGTCTTCATGGGAAAACGGTGTCCAAGTGGTGACACACCGACACTGGGCAAACAAAACGTATACTGCGTCTACAGAATAAGACACAGGGCTCAATTAGAAAAATAAAATAAAGTCAACAGCACACCTCCTAATCTAATACAGTTCAATGAATGACAGTCCAAGGACAGCCACAGGCCCAAAAGGACAATGCCTCCTGCTCTGACCCACGTCACAGAAAACTGCAGGGCACGTTTCCTGGGCTGAATGAGGATGGAGAGTCAAACATTTCTTTAACTTTGATCCCAGCTGACTAGAGGGAGTGCAGACACAGCTGATATGGACCGAACCTACGGTGATATTTATGTGGGACCACATCAGAGCATGTAAATAACCCCCTTTTTAGCATGATGGCCCAAGGCTTATGCTCATGAAACCCTCTGCCACCTCGTGCGGGGTCCTGCTGAACTATTACCACTTCAGTTCAGCCACATCACAAATGGAGAAAGGGTAACAATGGCAGGTCATACAAGGCAGGATCTATCAGTTCCGGGACACGCATGGAATGATTAATAGTCAGTCCCTTTATTTACACGGCCGGGAGAGGGTGGTGTGAGGAGAAAAAGGGTAAGTAAAACATACTTACCCTCCGTGGGTAATAGGCATTGAATTCGTCCCCGATGCGCCGCAGCTCCTGGGCGATCCATATTTCTGGGCGCAGGTCCGCAGGTAGGTCCGCAGGTAGGGCCGGGGACTGCTGCATGGATGCTGCAACGAAACAAAAGCAAGAGTCACATCGTTTCCATGGTCACTCGGCTCACAGCTCCTCACACGTGCACGCACATTTCTGGAAGCTCCTTGACGTCAAGAGCAACAGGAACGCATCACAGATCACTGTGGCACGGTCTGTCACTTCACTGTGGTTAAGGAATAAGGGAGGTGCAATGGTTTCCTTTCTCAAAACTGGAGATTCAGCATTGCAAATTCAAAAACTTCCTAGCCAATCAATCCCATACTTCCACTTCAAGAAGGCAAACACACACACACAAGTGGTACAATATATATCACCAAAGAAATACACTGGAAACACATGAGAACGTAAAAATTGAGGTTGTTGGTAAAATAACTAATGTGATCTTCAGACAAGGTAGAATCGCCAGGGAAAACCTCACATATCACAGAGGACGAGAGATGAAATGGTCGTTCTCTTCAAAGCAAAATAAGTGAAACCCGAGAAAGAACAACAGGCAGCCTGACTTGTGTAGGTGCCGTGACTTCACCACTGCGGGTTTTGTCTCTCAACGCAGCCAACGGATGCAAGTCTGCAGCCCCACAGGGGGACAGAACATGTTTTGGGTGTAAGAGCAAAGGCATTTTTGATGGAGAAAAAGAGGGAGGCTTTTATTAAGCTGTCACTGATGTCCATACCCGCTCGTTAATGGAGCCATTAAAGCCACGTGACTGCCAAAAATGAAGGGGAACAAGAACACACGTCTTCAGAACATCGCACCACGCATGGGAAGACGGTCTCCACGTGCCCCCAAGAAACACGCTGCCCAGCGCTTGAGAGCAGTGCAGAAAGAAGGCACAGGAAGTGACCAGTCTCACGGGCTGAACCGGCTCATCACGTGCAACGTGCTATTGAACTGGGCCCACTGCACTTGCCATTGAACACCTGCGTTCCACTTCGACCACCGCAAAACATTTTAAAACCTACGGTAATCAGGTCTCACAACATAAATACAGTTTCCTGTTCTGCATTGTTTGCAAAAAATTTTTTTGTATTTTATATTTATCGTTGTAAATAAAACTGATGTTGCATCATAGCTTCTGTAAAAGCACTTACAAGTGAACTCCTTGGCCTTGGCGGGGTGGCTCAGTGCACCAAAAAGGTTGTGAATTCGATACCCAGTCAGGGCACATACCTAGGTAATGGGTTCCATTCCTAGTCAGGGTGCATATGGGAGGCAACCGATGGATGTTTCTCTCTCATATTGATGTTTCTCTCTCCCTCTCCTTTCCTCTGTCTCTAAAATCAACAAAAACCAACAACAAAAAAGTGAATTCCTTGAAGAGTCTAACCAAGTCTTCCCAGACACCTGCCCCACCCTATCTGTCCCCCAGCCCCCCCCCCCAAGTGAAGTCCACAGTGACCCCACAAAGGCAGAGCACCCTGTGTCTGGGGTGGGTGAACAAGACGAGCTCACGCAGATCTTCTCCAGAATCATCTGCACTTTGAATTAAGCCAGAGGAAAACTGCTCCGAAAGGCAGGCAGGGTGCAGAACACAAGGGCTGACGATGGGGAACTTTTAGGATAAGCCAGGCGTGTCCCTGCACACACATCCAACCACATAAAAATCACTCTGGTTGAACCTTTGTCACGCAAATATTTCCACCGTTACTATGTAAAAGTCTGTTAAATTTAAATTTTAAATGACTACACTGACAGAGCACGTAATTTCAGGGTAGAGGTGATGCCAGGTGGTGATGTAATAGTTGACTCTCTTTCCCAGGGTTTATAGCTCTTGAAGGACTGACCACGTTACAGGTACCAAATCAGGACTGTTTTTATACCACCAGCAACCAAGCGTTCCTCTGGACTTTCGAAGCTTTTAGAAAAGCGAGCTCCCTCTTGAAGGAGGAAAAGCATCCTTTCTCAGGGCGCCTCTTGAACCAGGGCCTGCAGAGTGCTTCCTGTCCTTCCCTTGACGCAGTCCTGCTGACGGCCCTGCAGGGAGAGGCACCTGCCCAGACATGCAGGTGACCGGGCCAACCAGCAGACACCTCTCAGCTCCTTCAAGCCATCACCGCCCACCTCCCCCGGGCTTCAAAGCCCGCTCACAGCTCACTACACACGGCTTTTGTTAAGAGTAAGGTACTTTCAATCTTAGAGTCAAAAACGAAGAAAATGCCAACTATCCAAAGAAAACCTGTGAAACAGAGACTGTGTTTTACAAAGATGGTGGGCTGGTAAGAAGTGATGCAAGTTACCCGATGCTTAATAAATCCAGACAGTCACTAATTCACCAGCAACCACGAATGCCCATATGCCAGACACTGTCCCAGCAGGTGTTCTGGGCACAACAGCTAAAAGAGGCCGAGCCCTGTGCCACAAAGTTTACATTCTTGTGGATTAAATGCTAACATTTAACTAAATGCTGTTTCCTCTAGACAAGGATACTAATAAATAAGTATACTTGGTATCAAACAAAACTACAGAAGCCCACTGAGGTATGTGGTATGAAAGGCTGTCTGGCTTGTGCCCAGGCCTGCCAGCAGAGCACCATGGGGAGCCAGTCCAGGCAGAAATCAGTGTATCCAGACCAGTGCCTAGGGACCTAGAGAACTGGTCAACCTCACCAGCAGCTAAGAGGGAAACAGCCCTGGCTGGTTTGGCTCAGAAGTTAGAGCATCGGCCTGCGGACCGGAGAGTCCCGGGTTCAGTTCCCGCTAAGGGCACATACCTCAGTTGCGGTTTGTCTCTGGCCCTGGTTGGGGTCGTGTGGGTGGCAACCGCTCGGTGTGTCTCTCTCACGTTGACGTTTCTCCCTCTCTCCCTCCCACTCTATCTGAAGATAAGTGCACAAAAAAAGAGGGAAACATGGAACCTTGGTGGCCGAATCTAACTGCTCTCCTTTGAGATGAAGGCCCAGCTGCTTGGGGGAGAAAAATGAAGGACATAAATAGACGTTTCTCCTACACTACAGAAAAGTGCAGTGGCTTAAATACGCGGTTACCGTGAATAAACACACAGAAACAGCCGTGAGGTGAGGCAGGGTGACAGGAGGTGGTGTGTCTGTGGGAGGCCCCGGACCTGCACTCTACAAGCTCCCACGAGTCAGGTGCAGACAGACCAGGACCAGACCTGAGAAATGCTGAGCAAAGGGGAAGAGGCCCTGGGCCAGACGTCTCTTCAGAGAACATCTGTGAGTGAGGAGCGTCATAGCGGCCAAGGACAAGGCTTGGATCAGGCTGAGCATACACCACTGGTGTAGTACACTTAGGTGTAGTGTTTTCAAGTTGATCTAGAATAGTGATATTCAGTGCAGATGAACTTTTTCAAAGGAGTCTGATCTGTCTGAGCTACTCTAACAGCACCTATCACTATTTGGCTTTTTAAAGAACTAGGTGTTTTTTTTTTTTTGAGTGGCAAATACTTTTCTGGTTCCTTCAAACCATAAACCTAAAATGAATGACCAACATACATCCTGCAATAATAGGCAGCAAACATGGACAGAGACTACGTGGTTATAAAGTAAGATCATAACACAAAAATTCTATTTTGAATTTCAAAGGCATCTTATTCCTGTAATTTAAAGGGGTAGTCTTAAACTCAGTTAATACAGTGCATTTTTTAACATTAATCTCAAAGACTGTTTCTGAAGTGACAAAAGATCTCTCTTGGGAGGTAGGAGCAGCTTTTTCTTTCCTTCTTCTTTAAAGACTTTTCTATGAGGTCATAGACTTTTGTAGGCCCTGGGGATATAAGCAAAATAGATAAAAATTCCTAACCCCGCGAGGCTTACATTAAAAAAAAAAAAAAGTTTCCGTTGACACCCCCCCCCCCCCAAGAGAAACATTGATTGGCTGCCTCCTGCATGACCCCTACTGGGGACCGAGCCCGCAACCTGGGCACGTGGCCTGACCAGGAATCGAACCAGGACCTCTCAGTTCATGGGACAATGCTCAATCCACTAAGCCACACCAGCCAGGCAAGGCTTGAACATTTTATAAGGAGAGATACAAACAATAAACACAGTAAGTAAATGACCGAACAGCTGTACGGGGGCAAGTGCTGTGGGTTAACACAGAACAGGGTTCAGGCAGGGCAGGAGTGCGGGGCCTGGGGGAAGGGCGGTCAGAACAGGCCTCACCTCAGGGTGGCCTCTAAGCAAATATTTAAAGGAAATGGGGTTAAAATAAAGATAAGAATGGTACCCACATTGACTAGGTTATATAAATGGAGAATAAATGCTTTATAATAAAATGACTACTGAGAAGCTGAATTTGTTTGTAGAGGACAAGTTACTTGCACCTCTTCCATTCTTCCCTGGGAGGTCTGAGAGATGACAAAGCATCGAGACCCAATTACCATCTCAATACTTGTGAAACTTCAATCAGTTTTGTTTGCGCATTACGTGGTTTGTTCTCATGACCACAGAACTGTAATCCACAAGGTGTCTTTCTGTACATGAATCAAGTGAAGTATGAAACTGGTAAACACGCTTTCGAGAACAGCGTGGCTGTGGCTGGGTGGCTCGCTGTTCCATGCACCAGAAAATCGTATTAAATTAAAAAGTGGCAAGTGCGAGTGCACCCAGGAGGCAATGAATAGATGTTTCTCTCTCACATCAATGTTTCTCTCTCTCAAACAAACAAAATATACATATCCACAGGTGAGGAGTAAAAAAAAAAAAAGAATAACTTAAAGATACTTGTGTTTGATATAAAAACACAAAAAGCACTGTTAAAACTTTTCTTCCACAAGGAACATGTAAAACAGACTATGTTTCCTAATTTCCGTACTGATACAGTCACTGCGAACAGTTACTGAGTTCCTCCGTGGGCAGTATTTGATGTGAATAGCTTCATTGAATGCATTTCCTCATTCAGCAGATACAGACGATCACTGCCTCGTGCCAGGCATCGTCCTGGGCGCTGGGGGCCTCAGGGAACAAAGCAGACAAATCCCTTCTTCTCTGGAAATGGTAAGTAATAGGCCAGGTGGTGACAGTGCTAGAAAGGGAAATCACACCCGGCCAAAGAG